TGGTACTTGGCGGCTGGCTCTGGCTCTGGCTCGTCGATGATGGCGGCGGCGGCTCTGAGGGGGCGCTCGTTTGCGCCATGGCGACTGACTGCGGTTGAGTGTCGATTTCAAAACTCTCCAGTTCTCGATGAGCTCGACAAGACGACGGTGTGAGGTGAGGCTCTGAGCGGTGTAGTTATGGGGGGGCAAGGTGTGTTAATTATGGATAGGCCCGCGAACCGGGTCCGGGACCTAGCTAGGCGGGTGACAAGGATGGGCCTTGGAAGGGAAAGACGGTCAACCACAGGCCTGGTCAAGCCTGGTTTGAGCCGGTCTTGGTGCCAGGTCGGAGCTAAATTGAGCTGGCAGCGGCTGGGGGGTGGCCGGGCGCGGGGAAGGCGAGACAGGAATGACGGCGGCCGTTGTGTTGTGGATGTCTACTTGCAACTCGAGAGTGGCGGATAGAATGCGGGTAGCCGCAGGCAAGATGGGACATCAGATGCTGTGACGGAGCAGGATGGACATGTGCAGCAAGGAAATGGTGAAGAAGTCGACCATGTTCAGATGGTGTGAGAGGAACGGGGGCGGGGGGACAGGACTCGCAGTGCCTTTTTGAGGGAGCGGGAAAGCAAGCTGGAGGCTATCGACGAATAATTGGTGCGGGCCGTGCTAGCTGCAATGTATGTGTTGTCATCCGGGGGGCAGCTTGACAAAGTTGAGTGGTGTTGTTCGGAGACGACTGAGAGGGCCGGATGAGCTCACTTTAGACAGACACGATAGTCAGGCAGGTCGAGGACTGCAGATTACGTCCGGGGCTGCATTGGCGAGAGACTGATTCGGCGAGAGAGGTGATTTGTCCAAGGCGGCACGTCGCGGGGCTATGCGGCACGGTACTTGGATCGAGCCCAGTCGGCCTGGGTTTCGGCCAGATGGGTTTTGGTTTGGGATAAGATGGATGGCAACCGACGACGTCGACGTCAATGTAGGCGATGGAGCTGTGAGCTGGTGTAGTAAGGCATGCGCAGCTGGGATTGATCGGGAGTTGGTGTTGGCGTTGGGTACTGCCGGGCTCGGCTGGATTGGACGAGGGTGGGAGCTTTTCGAGGGTGCAGCAATCGCAGCAGTAGCAGCAGCAGCAGCAGCAGCGAGCGGCAGGCTGGACGAGGCGAGCGTCGGTCTGATTTGTATGGAAAACAAGTGATGGCGACCGGGGTGATCCGAGAAGAGGGGGAGGGGCACCGTTGCCCTGGACGGCCGTGTCGTGGGGTTCAGGTCCAGGTCCAGGTCCAGGTCTGCGACTGGTTGACGGGGTTCAGGTGCAGCGAGCGTCTGGAGCAGTTTTCCTTTTTCTCGCGACGGGATAACCCAAGCGGTGCATATGGCATGCATGCATGCAGCAGGAGAGGCGCCCCGAGGTGAAGACGAAGAGGCAGACAGACGCGAGCTGGTGGTGGTGTTGGAGCTAACAACATGAAGGTTCAGTGTCCATATGGCCATGTCTTTGCTCGGTGCTTCGAGGGTGCTTCTTCGAGGGGCTGGGCAAGATGCCTGCCCCAGAATGAGGTAAGGTAAGGTAACCTGAAGAAGGTCTCCTCAAGTGAGGTCAGCTGGAGGTCACTGTCACTTCCGCCGTCACTGCAACCGCCGTTCATCTTTTTTTAATGGTGGGGCATTCCCAACTGTGATGCGTTGTCCCTCGTCTTTTCCACCCGCTGCCTGGGCGTCTTCATTATCTATCCCCGGAAAGGATGGCTTCATCACAGCAAACTACCCAGGCAGGTGTGCATCCGTTGACGAACGAAAAGTAGGCCTCACGCGGTGGAGTGGTAAATCTGTCAGGTAAGGCAAGGTACGCTTCTCCTTTGGGCTGCAACTGCCAACGAGTCCTTCCTCTCTTCAGCATTCATTGGAGGAGAACCAGCAGCAGCAGGCCTTTTAGACGAGCTAAGCCCTCGAAGCGCTACTTTTCTCTCCCTCCCCCACCTTGGCTCGAGGCCGCCCACCATCACCACCACCACCACCACCACCACCCTTTTTAGACACCTCCATCTCTCCCTCTCTCTCCATCCATCTTTAGCGGCTTCCTACCCATGCACAACCTGGGCATTGGGTTCGTTGGGCTCTCATCTGAACCCTCCTTCAAACCTGCGAACCTCCACCTCGTCCATGCAAACCTTTCGATGCATTCCCGTGGTAATCAACCTCAGAAACAGCAATTGACCGCCCTTTGCTTTCCATAGTGGTCCACCCCGTCAGAATAGGAACCGGCATGGGTGGCTGGACATCACGCCGATCGAGGTGCCAGCCAGCCGCTGGCCTTGGACATACCTGTCAACCGAACAGGGGTATGTCATAACGGATACCCCAAGCCCAGCTGCCCCCGTCGCATCCACCAATCGCGACTCCCTCGCTCAGGGACCAGAGATGCCTATCTGAGAGATCTGCTCCTGGGGGGGATCATCTTGTCCGATGGCGCACTCGTCGTCGCGGTGCTATTCTGCCATGCAACGGCGGCCAAACCCGAGTCCCGGACGCGGACGTCTGGCGACGAGAACGCGACGGGCTCGCCGGCTAGAAGCGCCGTCCGTCCCATTGCCGAAGCCACCTCGAGCCTAGTCAACACCACCTTGAACGACATGCGAAGAGAGTCTGACGGGGGATGCGTCTTTACTGGCTAAACTCTACACATCCACCCGCGGCAAAAATCTCGTCGCTTACAGTGACCATTGCGCAATCTTAGAGATAACGGGATGGATCTCTCTCCATCCGCCGGCGTGCAAAGTCTGCACGAGAAGCGCAGCATAACAGGGACGAAATACCCACGTGCCTGCCGCCCTCATGCGGGAAGACCGTCTGCACGACCCAAAGTCTTCACTTGCGGTCGTGGAAGCCAACACATTGCCAATTAGCGCTCGAAAGGTTTGCCTTTCGCCCTCCACTGCCTGACGCTACGCCGTGGTCTTGGTGACACGGCAGCTAGCATCTGCATCACAGACGATGGGACGGCAACATGACACCGTATGCACAGAGGAAACGAACTGGTCCGGCGTCATCCAGAATCACCATGCTGCGCGAGGTTGGTACCGTCGGCTGCGACACGGCCTCTGGAAGCCTAGAATCCCAGCCCCGAATGGTGTTTGCTCACACCTACCCGTGTCCCCTGCTAGTCTGAAGCACGGCTCGCCGGCCTGGCTTCCAGTGCAGCCGGGCTGCTTCTGCTGAGGCCATCGGATGGAATATCTAATCGACCTGGAAGCGCAGTCCCGCCGTCAGCCCTGCCACTCGGTCAACGTTAGTGGTCGGATCCGAGAACCACTCTCGCGCGCTGCCTGCATCTTGGGCACCGATGCAGCCTAAATGGTGAGGCTGTCTGCTCGTTGACAGGCTGTCGTCCTGTACGCATGGCTTGCATCTGCATCATTCACCCAGACACCCGGTGGGCTCGGGGCTATTGACGTCGAGCTTGGTCAACAAGACGCAACCGTGCAGTCTCCGGCCGGTTGGGATCGTCGAATGCATGGACGCCGTTGCAAAAGTTTCCCGTCCCTCTCTCTGACCACCTCTCTCTGTCTCTGGCTCTCGCTCAATTGCTGCTCCAAGCGCTGGGAGCAGGCATAGCCATGCTACCATAAGCGCCCTCTCCAATTGCGAGCCTGGAGATCTCCCGCCTTCAACGTGCCAGATGTACCCGGCCATGGACAGCAGATTCACGATCGATGATCGATGGCGGGAACACTACGGACACGGCACAAAACAAGACGTGGTGTGTCGATGCCAGGGTCTTCCCGTCTGTCCCTTTGCCAGATCCCAGCCGACCCGAGTGTCTTCCCGCAAACCCCACCGATCCCGCGTGGGTGGGTTAGTCGTGCCGCCAGACCAGACCCTGAAGCGCAAGGAAAGCTAGTCAGAGGTACGAATACCCCACCATCGCAGCTGTAAAGGAGCGCCAGAGTGCACACAGCAGCTCTCACCGTCCACAATCGCACAAGAAACGAATTGGGCCACAGTCAGGCACATGAAATATGTCACCATGACTCGACCTCGTATCAAAGAAGGACGGCCATCAGATATCATAAAAACAACGGCGAGCACCGGAGAAACGACCGTTCCACCGTTCGATGTCATCGGGGGGTCCAATCCCGCGGCCGCCAGCCAACCTCGACGCGATGCACGGCGCAGGCGTCTCACTCGAGTTGGTGTGCTCGTCATGTCGGCGGCCCCCCATCTGCAGGCGTCAGCATTTCCGGTCAACTGGGCTCCCCTCTGTTATTCCACTTTCTTCGCCTCGAACGGCATCCACTGGAGGTCACGACCCCTCGATGGGGATACCAATTGAAATGCAATGCTGTTGACGCAATGCTCATTGCACCAAACGGCCACGGCACGCGCGAATCATGTGCCCTTTTAACAATTGTTGATTGTGTGTGGCTACTCGCCGAGTGCTTATGCACTGCTCGTGACCGTAATGTACAAGAATCTGCCCTCTGCCCAATAGCTACCCTATGCAAACATGGCGCCCTGCTAATCCTCCCACCCTTCACATCGACGCCGTCCTCCTAATGCGCTCTTACTGCTGCTGCCGCTGCGCGGTCTATGCTATTGGGTTGGTCTGCAACCCTACTCTTACAAAGGCCCGCCTAACCAATCGCCTTGGAAAAACAAAAACATACGCGATAAAATAACCATCTAGAGTAGAGATGCGGTATTCTTTGAGAATGCGTCAGCACGCGTGACGGCTTTATGCGGGTTCGTCTAATTCGTTTTGTGAGTGTGTGTGTGTGTCAAAAACATCCGCTCCGAACGCCCCCGTCCAGTCATCCGCGTCAGCGCCCCAACCTCGCCTGGTCCTTCCCGTCGAGGACCTCCGGGCGCAAGCAGATCCCAAGACGGGGCGGGGCCGTGGCTTGGTGGGATGGCCGTCCATGGATGTTGGGGGCGCGGGCGGGCTGGAAAGGACAGTCTAATGGCGATGCAACGGGTTGGCAGTCCAGTTGACTACCTTTTTGATGGTGAGGCACTCTCTAGTCGTCGTTCTCGTCGTCAGAGTCGTCCTTCTTCTTGTTCTTCTTGTCCTTCTTCTTCTTGGTGTCGTGCTCCTTCTGCCACTCGCACGTCTTGCACTTGTTGGCGGCCTCGCGGTCCAGCTGGGGGAAGATGAGCTCAAAGACGTCGGAGTACCAGGTGACGGGCTTGCCCTCGATACCCTCCTTGATGTTCTGTAGATTTGGTCAGTACACAGAGTACAAAAAAAAGATGTGTTTCATACCTCTGGGAGCTCGAGCCAGTCCGACATGCAGTCCTTGGGGAAGATGATCATCTTGCACCCGGCACGGCGTGCGGCGACGGTCTTCTCGCGGAGACCGCCGATGCGGAGCACCTTGCCGGTCAGGGTCAGCTCGCCCGTCATGGCGACGGTCGGGTTGACGGGCGTGTCGAGGGCGAGGGACAGGAAGGAGGTGGCCATGGTGATACCAGCCGAAGGACCGTCCTTTTGCACAGCACCGTCGGGGACGTGCAGGTGGAGCTTGGCCTTGTCGAAGAAGTGGTTGTCGGGGAATTCCTTTACCATGAGCGCCTTGGCAAAGGAGTAGGCAATCGTGGAGGACTCCTTCATGACGTTCTTGAGGTTGCCGGTGATCTCGAGGCCGGGCCTGCTGCTGGGACGCAGAGGGGCCTGCAGTATAGACTCGACGTACATGGCCGCACCGCCCATCTGGGTCCAGGCGAGACCCATGGCGACACCGGGCGGGTTGACCTCGTAAAGGCGGTCCGAGGTGAAGACGGGGGGACCGACGTAGTCAACAAGGTTCTCCTTTCCGATGGTGACGTGAACGCTGTCCGGGACGTTGAGGGCCACGCGGGGCTTCTCGGTCGTGGGGGTCTCGGCCGGCTCCTCGCCGGTCTCCTTCGCAGCCTCCGTCTTCTTCTCCGACTCCTCCAGGGCCTCCTTGCCACTGTCGGTGAGGGCCTCCTGCTCGGGGAGGACCTCCTCGCCGAGGTCCTGGACGATCTTGAGGGCGGACTTGCGGTAGACCTTCTCGATCTGCTTCTTGAGATTGCGCACACCAGACTCGCGCGCGTAGGACTTGATGAGCTCCTCAATCGCCTCCTCGCTCAGCTTGACGTCGGCGTTCGCCAGGCCTGCCGCCTCCTTGGCAGCGGGGGCGAGGTACCGGTCTGCAATGGCCTTCTTCTCGTCGGCGACATAGCCGGAGAGCTGGATGAGCTCCATGCGATCGAGAAGGGGTCTGGGGATGGTGTCGGTCATGTTGGCTGTGCAGACAAAGAGGACCTTGGACAGGTCGACGGGGACGTCCATGTAGTGATCCAGGAAAGAGCTGTTCTGCTCGGGGTCGAGAAGTTCCAGAAGGGCAGACGAGGGGTCGCCCTGGTAGCCCCGGCCGATCTTGTCGATTTCGTCAATCAGGATCAAGGGGTTCTCGGTCTGACATTTCTTGAGCGCCTGGATGATGCGGCCAGGCAGAGCCCCGACGTAGGTGCGTCTGTGGCCCTTGATCTCCGCCACATCGGTGAGACCACCGACACTGAATCTGTAGTACTGGCGGTTGAGAGCGCGGGCGATGGACTTTCCAATAGACGTCTTGCCGACACCGGGAGGGCCGACGAAGCAGATGATCTTGCCCTCGACGGTGCCGCGAAGCTTGCCAACGGCAATGAACTCGAGAATGCGATCCTTGACGTCCTTGAGGCCGTAGTGGTCTTCATCGAGTACCGTCATTGCATTCTTGATGCCAAAGTTCTCTGCGCTGCGCTGTCCCCACGGAATCTGGGTGAGCCAGTCGAGGTAGTTACGCGTGACGTTGAACTCAGATGCCGCGGGCTCGAGGTGGGCGAGCTTGTTGATTTCGTCGTCAAAGACCTTGCGAACGGCCTCGGGCATGGCCAGCTTGTCGGCCTTTTCCTTAAACCTCTCCACCAGCTTATCCTTGCCGTCAGACTCGAGACCGAGCTCGCGGCGGATGCCCTTCATCTGCTCCATCAACCAGTACTCACGCTGACGCTTGGTGATCTTACTCTCGACGTCCTTGGTGATCTTTGACTGCAGCTGGGCGTTCATGAGCTCCTTCTTCAGGACGATCAGTGCCTTTTGCATCCTCTCCTCCACGTTGAGACTGGAAAGGACCTCCTGGAGCTCGCCCTGCTCGCCCGAGGATACCGCGGCGGCAAAGTCTGCAAGCTTCGCCGGCTCGGACGTGACGTTTCCAGTCGATTGGCTCATGGAAAAGGTGGAGATCTGGTCCCGGAAGAGGCTGTTCATGGTGGCGACCTCCTTGAAGACGTTGACGATCTCGTTCGTGACGGCCCGGATGACGGCGCTCTTGGGGTCATAGGGCTCCTCGGTCAGGTTCTCGACGTTGACGAGACTGACGGGGTATCTCCTGAGGAACGCGGTGGGCTCGTACTTTTCCGCGGCCTGGTCCGGCTTGGGCGCGACGGCGCTCTCCTCGAAGCTCGCCACGACGTCGCCCTTCTTGTCCGGCTGCGCCTCCTCCTCGACGGGCTTCGGGGGTATCGGCTCGGGGACGGGCTCGACCTTGGCCTCGCTGGGCTTCTTGTCCTCGGTCCCGGGCGGCAGCAGGCTCGAGAGGCGGATGCGGCGGTGGGGGTAAAGGATGGCCGTGAGGCTGCCCTGCTCGCCGTGCATCGGGAAGGCACTGGTGATTTGCGCAAAGACACCGGTATCGTAGACGTCATCGACGTTGCGGATCACGTCCTCGTCCTGGTTCTCGTCCTTGAAGAGGAACGCTCCCACGTACGGCTGGCCGCGCTTGATCATCTCGGTGATGGCGGCGGCCACGTTGGGGTCCTTGATGGTGATAGCCTTATAGAAACCGGGGAACAAGGGCCGCTTCGCAATGGGGATGGCAAGGACCTGGGGGTACACGTCCGGCACGACGGGCTTCTGCAAGCTCTTGTCCGAGGACTTGCGTCCCTTGCGGCCGCTGCCGTCGCCCTTATCGTCGCCACCACTGCCAGAGCCCGCCGATGAGCCGCCCGCCGCGCTGCTGCCCTTCCCGTCCTGAGCGCCGCCGGCAGAGCCTTCATTCTTGGGGGAGGACTCGGAGCTGGAGTTCTTTGCCTCGGCGGCGAGCTCCTTCTCCTCAAGCTCGCGCTGGTGCTTGAGGTTGGCCTTTTGCTCCTCCTCGGACAGAGGCTCTACGGCGCGGTCAAAGAAGCCACTGTTGTCCTCCTCCTCCTTCAGGCGGTGCGTCGACGTCGAGAATTGGGCGACGGCTCGCTGTGTTCGGGGGACGGCGGACAGGAGCAGGCGGTCGAAGGTGGGAGCCGAGCACCTCGGGGCACTGGCGGGGGATAGCCTGCTCGGGGTGGAGTATGGGCGTCTGAGGTAGTTGGCTGGGCGGCCGAGGGCGAGGCGCCTCGGGAAGCTCGATCGCATGACCATGATGGCGGCGGTCGAGGGGAGTGTTGGCGAGGTTGTGCGTTGCGGACCAGCAAGCGTTGAGGAAGCTCCGGTCTCGCGGGCACGTGGAAGTCGGGTGTTGCAGGGCCGAAGGCGAATAGCCGCTGAGAGGAAGGAGAGAGGGGGGAACAAGAGGGAGACGAGCTTTCAGAACAATTGAAACGTGCGGGTTTGTTTAATTTTTGCAGCAGTACAGGACGTCTCGTCCTAGATGGCGGTGCGCATGGCCTCCTGTCGCCTTACAAATACAAAGTGGCAGTCGAGAGCGAGAGAGTCAAGGTCCCCGGCTGAGTAGGTAGCCTTTTTAGCTATTATGGAGTACGTCGGGGGACTACAGAGTAAACGACATCACCAAAAAATCCGCCGCCAGCCAGCAGAGCACTGACGTTGCCGCTGGCTCGGCCACTGAGAGTGGAAGACGTCGTTGCCCAGTGGGGTGGCCACATCTCCACCCGGCTGCCTATAGAATCTGGAAGAACATCGGACCCGGCGGGCGGGAGCACATCGGAGCATTCCACCGATGCATCAGTCAGCGGCTTGGGTGCAGCGCAGGGCCAGCCACTGGTGTTTTTCTAGTCGTCGTATTCATACTGTCCGTTTGCATGTTGTAAGCCTCAACAGCTACAGTGTCTCTTTCGGGGTGCACACACAGTACTTAGACCGTGGCGTCCGAACTCTTTGACTCGATTGCGGGGAAGTTGAGCAAGCACTCCACGCTGAAGAGGGAACGGCAGTCCATCCAATGTCACTTACCTTAGCTGGAGCCGCTGCCCAGCCCGCTCACACAGGTCACAGTGCTCGACATCAGTCCATTACCTGATTTAATACCTAGGGTCCAGACCGTCGTCTTCCTCGGCACCTGCCATCACAAGCCCTGGACTCTCGAGAGCTGCTCTCCATCCCGCAGACTCGTCGTCTTCACACTCGAATTTGCACTCTCGAGCCCGGCTGCGACCTGCATTGTCACCTCTGCATTAGCGCTCACCCTGTTGATCCTTCACGCCTCCTCCACCGTGACGTTGCGGACGCTGCTTCCCCCTCCCCCTTTTCTCGTTGATCTTCCCTTCCCTGCACCTGGGAACATCCACCCTCGCTTCCCGACGGGACCGCATCCGGGGTCTCGGGGCTTGGTTCTTCAAGCAGCACCTTGCCATCACATACTCGTACTTACACATACACACACGCACGCGCGACTTCACATTCACTTCCACGATGCCTTCAGGTCAAAAGTCAGACGTCGCCTCGTCCCTCTCCAAGCTCACGCTGGATGGCGACAAAAAGCCCGCAAAGACGGCCAAGAAGACTAAGAAGCCAGTCGTAGACTCCTGGGAAGACGAGGACCTCGACGACGATGATGAGGAAGAGGAGGCAAAGCCCCCGGGCGGCGACGGCTCCAAGGCGCCTCCTCCGACCCCCATCTCTCCCACGTACAACGCGGCGTCTCACTCGTTTCCCCCGTACAGCACGACGGATCCCACGGGCGCCTCGGCAGCAGGAGCACCACCGGCAGGCGGTCCGCGTCGTCCCGAGAAGACGGACGCCGTGGCCAGGCGCATGATTGCCAGCGCGCTCGGCGTCAAGGTCCCGAAGCAGACGGAGGAGCAAAAGGCCTACGACAGAGCCATGCGGGAGCAGGAGCGCAAGCGCAGGGAAGAGGAGAAGGCGGCGGAGAGAAAGAAGCAGGAGGAGACGGAAAGGGCAAAGGCCGCCATCTGGGAGGACTAGACAGACAGGCAGTGCTGTCCTCTTCGCTTCAGTGTCAGTATAGGGTTGATTTCCCTCGTCATGGGGTTTGTATATACGAAAGAATCCGTGTTGTCATGGACGCCGAAGCGCAACGCACTGCTCTGTATACATTGAAGAGACTCCTACGGCGGCTAGTCGCTGCTCTCCTCCTTGGCCCTCTCCGACTTCATCGCCGCAAGCGTCTTCTCGACGGCGGGCCGGGACCTGATCCTCTCCGCCCAGGCCGCGTAGTCGGGGTACTCTTTGTCGATGGCGAACTTGTCGTTCCACGCAGTGTCGAGCATGCGGCGGGCCATATAATCCCAGGGCATGAAGGCGATGTCGACGTAGGTCCTAGGTGTGTTGCCCGTCAGCTATGAGCCACTCGGAAGGAGGACAGCAAAGCATACGCCTTGTCGCCGACGAGGTACTCTCTCCCCTTGAGCACGCGGTCGAGGACGGACAGCACGCGCACAGTCTGCTCCTCGTATCTCTCCTTGGCGCTCGGGACGTCTTCGGGGTGGAACATCTTGAACCACCCGAGCTGGCCAAAGTAGGGGCCCTGCCATCCGTCAGAGTTGTTGTTGTGAATGGGTAGGGGGGCACGACGTTACCTGTCCGGACATTTGGAACGCCAGGAACTGCTTCAGATGAAACTTTTCGGGGAACGAAGTGTAGGACAGCCTGTTCTCGGTGTCGTACGTCTCGACGAGGTACTCGATGATGGCGCCCGACTCCCAGAGGGTGATGCCCGTGTTCGGATCTGTGATGGCGGGGAGGCGGCCGTTGGGGTTGACTGTCGTGAAGTGTTCCTTTTTGACGTCCGTGAATTCCACCTTGATCTGCCCATGTTGTGAGATGGTTCTCTTCTCGCTGATGGGCAAGGAGGTGGCGACTCACCATCTCGTACGGAATCTCAAGTTCTCTGAGAATCATGACTACTTTGGCCGGGTTCGGGGCGTAGTATGCGGGCCGTGTTAGCCACATGGTGTTCGAGTGAGATGGAAGGTCTTGGGGCGGCTTACTGTGACCATACAAGACGATGGGCTTGGTGACGGACATTTTGACTGCGATATGGATTCCGAACTGGTTCGAAGGCTGCTAGATGATGTGTTTGGGTTTCAGAAGTTGGTATATGTAGAGACGTCTTGTGGTACTTATGCAGTTTGTCAAACGTATGTCTTCCGCAGCTCAACTATCTCCACCTGGCGGAAGCCCGCCCGAAAGATGCTCCAACTTGTGTGATCAGCAGTCCGACTTGGAACGCCATATGGAGTTTTCCTGCCAAATGAGGATATCGGTATCTCCGGGAGGAACACTTCCATGCCACCATCACGTAAAGTTGTCTCCCAGCGATGTTGTGCACCTGTCCAGCTTACAATATCATCACCTCACAAGGGCCGTCACGTTACAAATCAGATGCAGACACGGCTACGTCATGATTTTAATCGTCATCTCACAGAGAGGAACCGTCACGCCATGTCGCGATGCCGCGCGGGAAGCCACGAGGTTGTCGTCCGGGTTCGGCCGGGCGCCGGACGAACCGCCGGGCCCCACATCGACGCCGGCCGGATTATCACGCCGAATCTCGCAGGCCGTGTACCTTGGGCTCCGGACATTTCCATCACGAGCGAAATGTCCGATGACTCCCCGCCTAGCCTCTGCCACGACCTTCTTCTGCACGTGATTCGCCTACATCTCTTGTCTCGCGCGTCTGTATTCGTACTCGTGTCGACGCTCCCACTCCACGACCTTATAACTCACGTCTTATAGCATGTCAAATTCTAAACGCCAGGCTTGCAGGCGCGGCGTTTATGGATATACCCCGACTTTGATAAACTTCAAGATCGGAAAAGATTTCCCCATTTCACTCATCTTGTCCCTTCACCGGCATGCAGGCTTTTTTTGCCAGCCCGCTGCCACCACCACCACCAAACAATGTTTCTACCAAGAACCCCCAGACCATGCGCGTGTTTTGAGAGCACGTGGCAAACAGGTTTGACTGAATCATTGGCCGAGTCGCCACAACCCCCTCTCGAAGCCCGGAAAATCGATAAGCTTTTCCCTGGCCTCCGGACGATGTGTGAAGCAGCCGGGCTGAATCGTGTGACAATGTCTCCGTTCATCCCAGACCAACTCTAAGTTCTTCCATGGTAGAACAACGACCGCCACGCAGACGCGGCCACAAACGAATAATGTAGCCAAAACTCTGCCCGTCCACATTAGTCAGACCAGAGGCCATGAAACACTGGAACACACCGACAGGGTTGCGAGAGGTCGATTGGCTTGTGGAACAATTCCCCCGCGAGGCGCCGGTGTTCGCTTGAACAAGCCGGCTTGGCCAAGCTCATTCGGCCCGCTCCTGTGGCTCCGTAGGATTGTCGGGGCACGTCCACCTGTGATGCTGTAGCAGGAGGTCAAAGGGGCGGCAGGCGACCATCCCATTGCCGAAGGGCCGTTCGTTTTACTACACGATGCCTGCTACAGACCTGCGGGTTCCGGACATTAGATGCGAACACTTGGCTTCGCACGGCCCTCGCCATACACTCGTATGGAAGCAAGCCGAGGGTCAGCCGTATTGTTCGCGCCGATCCAGGCATGCAGAGCAAACGGAGAATCAATCGGACCGCACGCCCCAGACGCCGGTATCTTCGTCGGCTCGGAAGCGGGTCCCGGTGATTGTGACCCAGACCCGACAGTTCTTCATCGAAGCCGGCCTGCAATGGACCCCGGGTATTTGACTGAATGGAACAAACGGCTAAGCGCCGGGCGAACGCATGAAGAAAAGGATTGGGCTGCCGACAATTGTGAGGTGCATCAAGCCTTTCTCGTTTGGGAAGCTGACAAGAAGTCTGCCAGGGGACAATATTGTCAGCACGCCCGCAATGAGAACGCGCCTGCGAAGATTTGCTGGGAAAGCATCCCCATTCGACCGCTCTTGCATGACAGGCTTGGCGTAGGACTGTGTCTTGCCTCCTGGAGACCACGCCTCTGCAGAGAGAAAATTGGCATCATTTTGATTCCAGATGCGTAGCTGAATGCGGCCACTTCCCACAGCCTGACGGCCTTGAAGACATCGGCCCAGGTCGCGCGTACGAGGCGTACGAAGTACCGTAAAGGGGCCGGCGGTTTGGGGCTGCTCGGACGGGCCCTTGTCTGTGTGGTGTGCCTCTCAAACTGGTCGGAGAGATGAGACTTGATGCCTCCCTCTCCCACGTGTGCTCCCTGCCTATAGTGTTCCAAAGCTGCTGGGCCGCCTGCCAGTTCAACGCTAGCCGATTGGGCGAGAAGCCCCAGGGGCACAGACGAGAGCCCTGATCAGTGCCAGTTATCTGACGAAAACGTGAACATAGACAAGGGTGTCCAGTCGTCAAACCGTGCGGCCGAGCCCTTGCTTCGTCCTTCGCACGAAAGCAACAAGACGGACAATCATGCAAAGGAGTTCGCCCTGAAGTCCAGGATTGCTGTCAAAGGACCCAACCCGTGCGGAGTCGGCCGTTGAGTCTGACCCATCTCTGATGAAGCCGACACAACGTCTGAACTAGATCCAGATCTCGACGAGTGGACGAAGGTTGTCTTGACTGCCGGCCGAAGAGATGTAGGTGAGAGCGTGGCATTACGGACGCAGCCATTTGGCCGTCCCCCCTGTCCACCTGGAGAATAGCGAGACCGAAAGGGAATTTGATAAAATTCGGGCGCGACGGACAATCTGAAATCGAGGCGAATAAGGACGGAACTAGGATGGAGCTGCGACCGGGCTAGAGCCAAGTGGTAAACAGAGTGCCCAAAGCGAGTATAAGGTTTTCGTGATGGTCTACATCCTCTGGCCTCGCGACCTCGTCCATGGGATACCCCGCCAATGCTGCCGTGGGCAGTAGCTCGCAACGCGACGCGAGGGTATTCGTACGGCCGTTCATCAGCAGCAGCAGCAACAGCAGCCGCCGGCAAGGTCGCTCAGTGGTGCGGAATACTATCATGGGCTTGGCGGACGCTGGAATGCCGCAGCGAAGAACGCGGCCGGTATCCCGGAGAGACAGAGTTTGGCGGTGTGAAGCTGAAATTGTGACCGCAGCCTTGAAGAATTACCTCATCTCTTGCGTCGTCTGGGTGCGTTGCTGAGGTAGACGAGCTGTGCTCCCGGTGCAATGCTGCGGGTGGTTGACCGATGCAACAGGACAACGCCCAGACCGAAACGGGCAAGGGCACTCCAGATGAGCAGATCTCTGCAGACGATAGGAACGGACGCAAGACCGGTTGCAAGCCACGGACATGTAACGAGGCGGCGGGTAGAAGCCATCCGTCTTGTTCTATTCTGTTCAAACTGTAGCGCCGGGCTGAGTGAAGTGTCACCCGGGTCCTGGGTCGGCTCATCAAAGCTCCTAGTCTGCGTCAGGTCGACGATCCATCGACGGCAACAGAAGAATGACTGCGACGACGAAAAGGCGTGGTGGGTGGACTTTTTGGTTTTCTGGTGTTGCCGTTGTTGCTTGCCGTCACTTTCGTCCCATGCGAGACTCTAGACTTGTTGACTCTTCTGCGTCTGTGGTTCTGGAATGTGCCCTGTAGTTGTACGTGAACCATCCGCAGGTCAGGTAGGTACGGATAAGTGCATCGTGGCCACAGTCTGGCCTGCGGCGGTCAAAAGTCTAAGTCCAAGTCTGAACTTGGCAGTGGTCCAGGGTCCGTCGTTGATCTGGAGTTTGGGAGTCTGGAGTCTGGACGGGAGATTGGAGGTTTGGGGGCCCAGTTTGGGGGGGCAGCAGTTGGGGGTGAGAGAGTCATTACTCGGTGCTTGACGACTGAAACAGATGTTACATTGCCTTAGGCTGGAGGGGGGAGGAGGAGGAGGGCGAGCCAGCCCGCGAAAAGAGACTACGCTCGCTCATCGGGGACGTCTGAGGCTGCCGAATGCGGCGGTGCGGGTGCTGGGCGCGGTCGACCTCGCGTGGCTCATGTGAGTGCTGGAATTTGCCGGGGCCCGAGAACAGACATTGAAGGGT